CCTCAGAGAGGAGAGGATCCCTTCCTCCCCCCACCCCGCCCCCAGCCCCTTCATGCCCAAGACAGGGTTTCTCTGTGAAACAGCTCTGGCTGTCCTGGAACTCCGTTTGTAGACCAGGCTGCCTCAAAACTCACAGAGATCCACTTGCCTCTGACTCTTAGAGTGCCGGGATTAAAGGTGTGTGCTACCACTGGCTAGAGAGAGGCACTTTGACTCTGGTTATAAGTAGGAATAAGGCCTCTGGTTCACAGAGGAGAATGAGGAGGGATGTGTGTGGGTCCTGGGTGTTCTTGGAGGCCCTCTGCTGATAACTGGCGATTGTAAATAGATTGTAAATAGATTGTAAATAGGCAGTGCTACTGCAGCACCAGAAGGGATCGGGAACCAAGGACTCAGGCTCTCTGACAGCGTGAAGCTCTCTGCACTGTGCCACCCTGTGAGCCATGGAGGCTTGAAGAAGTAAGTGAATGAGAGGTACTGTCACACTAAGCAGAAGAGGAAGGAGGGGAATTCAGGGGGTGGCAGGTCACCCAATCCTCCTTTTGTCCCCCAGGAGGAGCCATCCATCGGGGCCCAAAGGAGCTTCTCTCTCCTTTGCAGATGGTGGTAAGTGAACAGCACCAGTTTTCAAAGTAGGACTTGCTGTCCACACATGGCCAGTGCTCTTGGCAGGGTCACCTTCTCTATGTCCACCCCAACTGCTGCTAAAGTCACTCACTTCCCAGAACAGCCTGCGTTTGATGACTGAAGAAAGTGGAGTACAAAGGTCAAGCCACTTGATATCCCATCCTGCCCACAGACTGGGGTTATGGCTCATTGGTAAAGTACTTGCCCCAAAGAAACAGATAAACAGAAAAGAGCTGGAGATGAGTCATCAGCAAGCTAGATGAAAATCATGCCTGCTGCTCTCTTTGGAGGTGTGTTGTTTTTGTTTTTTTTTTTTTTGAGACAGGGTTTCTCTGTGTAGCTCTGGCTGTCCTGGAACTCATTCTGTAGACCAGGCTGGCCTTGAACTCACTGAGATCTTGGCTGCTTTTGCCTCCTGAGTGCTGGAATTACAGGCCTGTGCCACCACCACCAGGAGGTTTAAATCAGGCAGAGAGGTGACCCCTGTCATCCCTATGACCATGAGGAGATAGCAGCACCCCAAACTCTTAGTTAAAACCACATGTGATAAATTACCACAGTGATAAAATTGCTTCCACAGTCATCCCACCATACCTTACAAAATCCACAGTCAAGTTCTTGGATCTGGATCGGTAGAGACACTCTTCGGAGAGTGGTTTGTGCCTGGATAACCCCCAAAGCATAGGCTTGTCCACCAGGGGGCAGGCTGCACATGGCAGGAAGCTTTTCTGATCCCTCCTCCATGCCCTTGTCCACATGCCTGCCTGCACACATATCCTGGGCCCTCTAAGCCACCTGGAAGGGCTTAGATGACTCATTCTGATGACACTGTAATGACTCTGTAATGGTAGCTAACCAGCAACAGCAGCCACCCTGCCTTAGTGTCCCTCTCAGGAGATCTGGAAATGTCTTTACCTATGTTATTCTCATTTGGTTAGCAAAACAATTTGGAAAAATAAATTATTGTTACAGTCATTCCTCAGAGGATTAAGTGGCTGGATCAAAGTCACACAGTAAAGCCCTGCTACTGCTGTCATTGGTTAGCTAGCCCCTGACATTTATTAAACTCTTGTGCTATTGTGTGACAGGGCTTTTCCCAGGGAGCTGCAACACACACATCTACTCATCCAGGCAGGGAGCCAAGACAGAGCAAAGCACAGACACCACCAAAGTCCAGTGTAGTAAACCAGTGAGCTTTATTGGGGTCACATACAGGAATAAGGACGAAGGGATACTTACAGGGGCAGAAATGTCTCAAAGATGGCAGAAGCCATGCTGTCACCCTTGGGAACGGTGCATAGGTGTGTTGCAAATGGAGCTCCTTGGACGGCAAGGCCCTTTGGAGAATCCCATCCATTTAACAAGGACCTATGGATACAATACTGCAAACTCCTGCACTGACCTTTGGGAGCTCCTGGGCTTCAGGCTTTTCTAACTTTTGCTATGCTTAATCCTATGGTAACTCTTAGTTTTGCCTTGTTAGTTGTGATTATGCCTGAGTTTACCGGGAACAAAAGCCTCTACAGAAAAGTTAACTTTCTCTGATCTGTTACAGAAACCCGTTTCTCCAGTTGTCCCTGGCTGCCTTTACAGTCATCCTGAATAAGCAGGAGGAACTCACTAAGGTTAATGATTAGTGCTTATTCAATACCAAAAAGAGATAAATATATTCCAAAGAACATAAGAATTAAGAAAACAGCTTCTTAAAAAAAAAGGCATTAGGGGATGGCCAGGTGGCTCTTTGGTTAAAAGCACTGGTTACTTTCCAGAGGTCCTGAGTTCAATTCCCGGCACCCACATGGCAGCTCCCAACCATCTATAACTCCAGTTCCAGGAGATCTCACATCAATGCACATAAAATAAAGTTAAATAAATTATATAAAAAAGATGGCATTAAAAACCTTATAGGGGGCTGGAGAGATGGTTCCGTGGTTAAGAGCACTGACTGCTCTTCCAGAGGACACAACAGGTTCAATCCTATCACCCACATGGCAGCTCACAACTGTCTGTAACTCTGATTCCAGGGGATCTGATACCTTCACTCCAATGCACATAAAATAAAGGTTAAATAAATTATTTTTTAAAAAACTTACAGGAACACAGAAAGAAAAAGATATAGGACATGAAAGGTCAGACATTTCCCTGCCACCAGGACATGAACACTCAGATACTTTTCCAATATCAAAGCATCAATAAAGTAATCTAAAATTCCCAGTTCCCTTAAAAGAAAACCTCATGCAGAAATTGCCAGGAAGAGTAAAGAAACTTAATCCTAATAGTTAAAGAGTTAGGTATTAATCATTATTTTGGAAACTTATAAAAAACAAGATTATAACTCTAATTCATATAATAAAGATGGCATTCAGATTGTTCAGAAACAGGTATACCCCTGAAAATGATACAATATACTCAGCTGATCTCTTATTGTTCAGAATTAATCACAGGGCTCAAATCTCTTATTTTGTAACTGAATGTTTGCTGCTGGCTAGGCAGTGGGACAGAAAAAGAGAAACTAAAATGTTAACGATTCTTGGAAAATGATTAAAGAGAAATGATTTGGAACCGCTCATGCTTGAATGCATTAGAACTTGTATGAATAAAGACAGCCTGATCTAGTTGGGGCCAGCAGTTTGAATGACAATCGGTGGGTGGTGAGACTCCTCATTTTTTGTGGTATTCACACATCCTTCTGAGGCACAAGAACCCCGGTGGAGCTGGACTCCTGCACAAAGACAGCTGTCACCAAAGACGACCCCAGCACGGGTGGCAGCTCACAAAAGCTAGGGATCTGGAATGTGCTGCCCAGACTTCCAGCTATTCGACAGGCTGGAGAGGACTCTCCAGGGGCCTCAGTTGGTCTAAACCTTTTCTAGGAAGCACCGCTGGTTTCTGCTTCTTCCAGGTAGCTGATTCTTCTCAGAGTCTTCTTTACTGCTTAGCTGGTCTGGGAGTGACTCTCAGCAGCTTGTTTACTCTTGGGAGGGAGGGACCTAGTGAATCTGGTCAGTTTCAGGGACTTCCTGAAGCTCTTTTGAGTTGTTTAAGGAGCTTCCCGGTAAAATGGAATAATTGTCTCTGAGAAAACTGCTACAGAGTATGTGCCAAGGTTGATACTGAGGAGGACCATAATTAGGCAGGGTGTCACACACCTAGAATTCCAGCACTTGAGAGTCTGAGGCAGAAGGGTCATGAGGTTGAGGTCAGCCTGGATTCTATAGCAAGACACTGGAGTGGTAAGGAGACTTATTTAATTCTAAAGTAATTGGGACAGTGAATTACTGGATTGACTTGGGATAAACAGAATACTGAACTATGATAGGGGTTATTAATTACTCAGCTCAACACTTCTATTCTTTTTCGTTTGTTTGAGACAGGGTTTTTGTTGTTGTTGTTGTTTTGTTTGTATAGTCCTGGCAGTCCTGGAACTAGCTCTGTAGACCAGGCTGGCCCGGAACTCACAGATGTCCACTTGCCTCTGCCTCCCCAGTGTTGGGATTAAAGGCATGGGCCACCACTGCCTAGCTAAAGCTTCTATATTCTTACTAATATTTTTTATTTTACTTGTTTTATCAATTAATAAGAGGGATGCATTGTGGGATATTTGTACACTATGTGAAGGTGTATTGCTGTGATTGGCATAATAAAAAGCTAAACAGCCAATAACTGGGCAGGAGGTATAGGCAGGACTTCCAGGCACAGAGAGGGAGGAGGAGGAGGAGGAATCCGGGCACTGAAGAGAGACTCCAGGAGACATGGAAGAAGAAGGATGTGTGGCATGTGACAGAACGTAGATTAATAGAAATGAGTTAATTTAATCTATAAGAACTAGTTAGGAACAAACCTAAGTTGAGGCTGAGCTTTTATAATGAATAAGTCTTCATGTCATTATTTGTGAACTGTAGGCCCAAAGAAAATTCTGTCCACAGGGATGTTACAATGTCTTGCTATAGCAGATTGTCAGTTTCCCACTAATCCTTTAGACGGATACCATTTTAGAAATGCTAAATCTCTCTGGTGAATTGCAATTTCAGGACAGCCAGGGCTGTTACATGGAGAAACCCTGTCTTGAAAAACCAAAAAAAAAAAAAAAAAAAAATCTTTAGATTTATTTATTTTGGGCAAACGAGTTTTTGCCTGCATTTATGTGAATGAGGTATGTGGTTCCCTGGAACTGGAGTTAGGAATGATTGTGAGCCACCATGTGGGTACTGGGGATTGAACCCGAGTCCTCTGGAATGGAGCAGCCAGTGCTCTTAACTGCTGAGCCATCATTCCAGCCTTCGAGAGCATTTTTTTTTGGGGGGGGGGGGTTCGAGACAAGGTTTCTCTGTGGCTTTGGAGACTGTCCTGGAACTAGCTCTTGTAGACCAAGCTGGTCTCGACCTCACAGAGATCTGCCTGCCTCTGCCTCCCAAGTGCTGAGATTAGAGAGCATTTCTTTCTTTTTCTTTTTTTGTTTTTTGGGGACAGGGTTTCACTGTGTAACAGCTGTAGCTGTCTGGGAACTCACTATGTAGACCAGGCTGGTCTCAAACTCACAGAGATCCACCTGCCTCTGCCTCCTGAGTGCTGAGATTAAAGGTGTGCACCACTGCCTGGCAAGTGTTTAAGTAAAATAAATTTTTTTAAAAGACTTTATTTATTTATTATGTATACAACATTCTGCTTCCATGTATATCTGCACACCAGAAGAGGGCACCAGATCTCATAATGGATGGTTGTGAGCCACCATGTGGTTGCTGGGAACTGAACTCAGGACCTCTGGAAGAGCAGTCAGTGCTCTTAACCTCTGAGCCATCACTCCAGCCCAAGTAAAATAATTTTTAACCCTAATCACAAAGTTCCTAGTACACATAGACTTATCATTTCCAGAGGTTAATTTCCTTTTGTCATTTCCATACAACAGCATTGGACTTTACTGTCCCAGTGTGGAGACAAAGGCTTGAGCCTGGAGAGCAGGGGCAGGGTTTGATGGCTAGAGAACTAAGATCAGTCAGTGGGTCCTAACGGCAGGGCTTCTGATAGGACCCAATGTGCTGTTTTCTTTTTCCCATTCAGGGGCTTGAATCCAGGGCCTGGGGCTGGCCAAGGAGAGCTCTATCATTGAGTTATAGTCTCCAATTCTTTTTTTTTTCTTCACCCTCCTTCCTTTTTTTCTTTTTTTCTTGAGACAGCATCTCTTATGGACCAGGCTGGCCATGAACTTCTTATGTAGCTAAGCCAACCTTGAACTATGTGCACACCCCTTACCCAGTTTGAAACCAGCGTGCTCACCATTTTCTTGTTCTCTGCTGAGGACTGCACCTGGCCCTTGAGCATGCCAGGTGTAGTGGTTTGAATGAAAATGGCCTCAATAGACCCATAAGGAGTGGCACTATTAGGAGGTGTGGCCTTGTTGGAGAAAGTGTGTCACTAGGGGTAGTCTTTGAGGTTTCAAAAGCTCAAACCAGGCCAGGTATCTCTCTCTCTTCCTACTGCCTTCCTGTCTGGATGGAGAACTCTCAGCTACTTCTCCAGTACTGTGTCTGCCTGTGTGCCAACACACTTCCTGCCATGACAATAATGGACCAAATCTCTAAACTGTAAGCAAGCCCCAATTAAATGTTTACCTTTATAAGATTTGTGGTGAGCTGGGGGATGGTGGCGCTTGCTTTAATGCCAACACTCTGGAGGCAGAGGCAGGCGGATCTTTGAATTTGAGGCCAGCCTCATCTACAGAGCAAGTTCCAGGACAGCCAGGGCTAC